TATTAATGGCAAGTGTTACAGTAAGCTAATTGCCGAAGAAGTGGAAATCTTCCCAGGAAGGCCAGGCTCCTAAAGAGCCTAAGTGGCATTTCACGGCGTAGGGCGCGCCCGAAAGACCTGACAAGCCCTTATCGGTGGTGTCACAGCGTTCAGGAGCCCAGACTTCAGGTTGGGTGTGATTGATAGGTAGTGAGAAGTTGACATTCTCGGCCAGAGGGTGTAGAAGGTCAAAGCGCAGCGTTCGCAGTAATAACATCATGTACGGTGAAATCCCGTCTAGTGCGAAAATCAAAGGCCAGATAGGTCTCTTCTCGTGGGCATTGGCTGTTCTTATGGTTTTCCTCAGTTCTGCACCACTTAACACCTAGACTTTTTATGACAATAGCGACTAAATCATTGTACCGCGTGTAGTTTGATTCTGCTTTACTTTTTGTAGCTCCATACCCCAACCAAGCCCTATTAAGGTCCGCCATTGAACGAGGAATCCTCGTTAGAATGAACAGAAACGAATCGTACTTGGTTGCATCACCTGTGTATTTTTAGTACATGGTGAAAGCAGAATTTTCAGTAATATGGGAAAAATTTGGAAATTACAAGGCTGATGGAATTTTCGCACTACATGAATCCGAAGTTATCGAATTCTTGGAAGCCAGTTTGAGCGTTGATCTAAAGGCAGCGATTACGATAAGGAGGGAGCGCATCGGGGAAGCATATGCACCACACGAAGCAGTTACTTGGCTGCCAGGAAGCGAGATGTGGCGCTTTCACGACGAAAGGTGCGCTGGTTGCTGAGCAGGACTTCGAAAGCACTCCGCCCCCAAAAGCGATCCGCCCACTAGTTTACTTGTTGATTTGGACGAGCTGCGTTGCCAGCAGCGGCGCAAATGGAGCATCTCGATTGAAGCGTGGTTTGGCATGGTGCCACCAAACGCGTTGCGGTGAACTCGTTCATACGTCCATTTCTGAGCTGTTACCTGTTCATGAGTGAAAAAGAACGGCCAAAAAGGGGGTCCCGTTTTGCGTTTTCTTGACGGATTTCTCAGCTTTTTTCGCCACTGCGTGCCATTGAGCACCATCACGTCTCCTTTGAACCCTTCTCGAATCTATCGTAATCGCTGCCTTTAAGGTTAGTTCGAGAGGTTAGAGCACTTTATAGGCCCCTTATGGAGTGGGGCGATGCTCGTTCCACAGCGAAGGGTATGATGAGATTGCATAAATGCATCGATGGTAGAAGAAGGGGTGTGTGTCATATAAGGGATCCCATTGGCATCGAAGCGCACAGGACGTAGTTGCCACAACCTGCATGCCCGGACAATTCGTCCGCGCACCACATTCTATCCCACTCCTCCTGCCTTGGAATCAGGCCAATAGAAGCTATCCGCCTTCTTTTTAAAACCATTGAAACTCATCGAGATTTCTGAAACTCCAACTTATCAGATTGATCAATTGTTGAAGTATATTAATTGAACGACGCGGACGAGTTGTCCGGCCACAGCAGCATGGAGTTGTGCGCTCCAATGCCAATGTGATCGCGCCATATGACCGCCTCCAGAGAAGAAGGGGTCCCCCATTTTCGGTTCTCATGAGTTTTTCATTCCTGTCCACTGACCACCTCTATCCTGAGTTCAAGGGCTGCCCTTTTGTCGTGAATCCCGCTTCGAAACTGAACATCTATCCAAGAACCACTCAATAAATCATGTGCACGTCATTCAAGTAATGAACGACACTAATACGAGAAAAAGACACTGCACGATCAGCAAATTTCACGTGACTATATAAGTGTAAGTCAACGTGAGCTAAAAATACCAGTCGAAATCCATAAGCGAGGTTTTTTCTCGTAATCAGTTACGAAGTAAAGCGCAAAAGTTCGCTCGACTATCACTTCGGCCATGAAAATCAATGATGACAGAAAGAAGTATGATCGAATTATCGACGCGGTAAACAGTAGTATTTTGGAAGAGTGCGATTTAAAGTAAACTGTGAGTGACATATACAAATTTGGCGAAGGAGTGTCCACACAAGATCCAACCGTCGCGAGTTAGGCCGATTTTAGAAAACTGACATCTTGACCCCCCTCCCAAAGTTCAAAACGCATTTATCTCGCCCATTCCATTAAATTTCCGTGAAAGTGGCGAAAAATCCCCCGAAACAACCCCTTAACTCCCACCACCCGTAAATTTCACAATTCCACAAATATCAATTAAACTCCACAGCAACCACCCTCAAAAATCCCAAATATCTATGGTCCCCGTTGTTATCGGCTTAACGCCCAATTGACCATGGTCTTTCGGTTCATTTAAAGGCACAACCCAGGCAGAAGTCATGTGAACGATTCTCTTCGGTCTGTAGGATAGACCCCTAGAGGACAATCACAAATGTGGCGTTCCCGTGCACGGAAACCAACCGACAAGAGCGCTTGGGCCTTGCAAAGTAAGCTGCTGAAGCTGCAGATTTTTTTTCAGGCTGTTGTCTGGCGCTCTCTCATCTGTAGCGCTCTCTCGCCTCATACTCTCCTCTCCGCGCTTAGTCTCTCATTCCCTTAGCACAGCCGATTAGGAAGGTGAGTGAGCCCTTAACCTAAGCGTTTTTGACGGATTCTTTTCCTTTTTTCTTTACTGCCGGCCCATTTCGCACCAATACATTCGCATTCGTGTGCAAGAGCCACACCAATGTGATCCTGGGGCATGCCTTTAAGGACTTACCATCAAAATGAAATACTCCGACTTGGTATAGATGCATAACCAGGCGTGAAACAACAGCAAAGTAGTTACCGCTAAGGTAAACCTGAAATATTTTTCTACAAGAAAATTTTTTTCAATGGAAGAAATCCCTAAAATATAGCTAACACATTATTGTATGTTCTCTCATGTGCTGGGCATAGGCAGTATAGAAAGTGGCGCCGCTTGTCACGCGCACGATCCCTGGCCTAAATCCGATCGCGCGCCGTCATTGCCAGCCAGCCCCCCCCCCCTCACACCTCTGGGTTCTGTTACTTTTTACCTGGCTCGTCTGTGAGGATCAAAACTCTGAGTTGTGCATCGACTGACCCCATGATATGTAGGTGAGATGGCCTTCAAATGTCATCACGGTTTTGAATGGAAGCGGAATTCATGGCGCATCCCAAAAAAGCATTGGTTATGGTTGAACCCGAGAAGTAGGACCTATTCTTTCTCCGTCGATTCCCGCCCCAATGCGACTCTCATCGTTGCTGCTCTCTTCAACACTAACGCTCTCTCTTCCGAATGGCTAAACTCAGACGGCGGGGGTTACCCATGGACGAGTGTGCAGAGGCGCGAGCGGCACGGGTACGGCCCTGCTGGACCGCTCGGGGCATACACTTCTTTACGGAACGCGCATTGGTCCCGCATCCTCAAGTCTCGAATTTGCCTTCTACTCAGGTATATTTGCCCTACATTGACCTCCGACCTCATTCATGAAGTCCTTGAACGCTGCTGCAGCAGCATTCAACCCAGTCCTCACCTGTGCTATTCGGATGAGATTTGGATGAAATATGGTGCTTCGCCTTAGACAACAGTTGTGTAGAAATGTGACCGGCAAGGAAAATGCGACGGCGGTAAATTCGCTGATATGAATAATTGATAATAGGTAGTAGTTCAGCAGATCTGGAGAATTCTTGCTGGGAATGAATACAGGTGCCAGGAAAAATATATCGCCATACAGATGATACGTGATCGTATCGATGAATACCATCAGACTGATGAGTTGATCCTAGGATACAATTTGAAAATGATGGCTACAGCTCCTCAGAATCGATCTCATTCAGTCATTAATTCGCTTCACTCGGACTCTTCTTGAAACTTTGAACAACATCTTGACGTTTAATGACAAGGTAGATGGTGGGTGTAGAATGAGTCCTGTGATGTTTTCCACGCGAGTCGTATCCCGTCTGGGCCAGAGAACCCTTGAACATTTCTGGGTTAGAAGTTGGTAACCGCGACTTTGCAGTGAGCGAAGCATCTATCGGAAGCTACTGTATCGACGGTCTTTCGCTTTTGTTTGATGTCATTAACACATTCACGCCGATGGCCGCCCATATGGGCTGCCAACAACATGCGCTCCTGGGACGATGGCAGCCCATATGGGCTGCCAACTGATAATCGCTTGCCAGGCGCTAGGAATGGACAGATAGGTGGGCAAACCTCGTAATCGAGTGTAAAATGCTTTTAAATTCCTTCACGGGAAAGTGAATAAATGCTCCACTATTTGTCGTTCTGATCGAAATCCTACTGTTATATGTTTAGATAATCTTTACGCATTGGACATTGCAGAAATTATTTTGTGACATTCATGTTTTTGTTCATTTACAAAACAAAATCTGCGGTTATGTGGTGAGGCGGCGGCGCCCACAAAATCGCGTCCGTCCCACCGAAAAGTGGAAAAGGGGCGTTGCTTGTGTTAATAAATACATACGCATCCACCATTATCCATGATTTTGAATGAAAGCGAAGGATGTGGCGCATCTCAAAAGTCTAACGGACTACTATCGTCTAACAGCTTGTCAAAAGAATGGAACAGCTTGTCAAAGAATTGGGGATTTCTGATAAGTTGATTTTTTTTGGATAAATGAGCAAATTTATGAATGGGATAAACATTTCTTTACTTATAACAATTACAACAGTGAGAGTGTCGCAACTGTTGAGACTTGAATGCGAGTTCACTGACCGAAGAGATGCCTGCCGAACAGGTGGAAATTTTCTCTATTAATTCAGATTCAACGATCACGCGAAAGTGTTACTCACAACCTAATTGGTTCGAAGTCGCTGGAGGAGTGTTAGAATAAATAGCGCCAATTATTCGCTAATTTTTTTTTCTGTTTTTCAACGCCTCCCCCTCCGCCACCGCCCTGTTCCACTCATGTTGCTTCTCCTTAGCATAAGCCTTCAAAGCAGCAACCGTGATCTCTAGAGCGTGGTGCGATTTATGACGGCATTGAATGTCATTTGTGGAAAAGCGTCAAAGACGGTCTCAACATCTTCAGCGTAGTGGGGTGGGCAAGGGGGGAGGGTCTAGTGCAATTATGACGCTCAATGGCGATAACAAACACCGCCACTCAGCATTGTAATCACTGCCTTCGAAGATGTAGGCTCCCGCAGGTGAAGTGTTGTTTGCTTTGAGATATCCACCTGCTCAGGAAGAAGGCGGTGGTTGCAGTCTCCGAAACTTCTGCTAGAGAGCGTGCCATATTATTTATTTATTTATTTACTGGTCAATCATAGATAGCACAGTTGCAGTGACTTATTTCACAACCGATTTACTCACTCACAAAATAGTCTAGAGAAAAAATGGATAGATGTAACTTCATGAAACCCAGTAGAACGTAATATGTGTAGAGCTAATTGGAGAGAGCAGTGCGTTAGAAATTAGAAATAGAAGGCTCCAAGGTCCGCCGGCAGTGCTTGGTGTTGCGATTGGGACGTGCTCGTCTTGCTAATCATTTGCACCAACCGGGAGTTGAACCCGGTCTGTACCGTGGGAGGGTACAATGATACCGCTACACCATTGGTGCTCCTGGTAGACACAACACATGCAAGCATCCTGACTACTTCATATTTCGTCCCAGCTCGCTGATTGCAGCTAAAACAGTCATATTGATGAGCTTGCACTCATTGAAATGCCAGGATCAGATTCTTCCCGAGGGAATTGTTGGGTTGTGCAAATGCAAAACATTTGCACCAACCGGGAGTTGAACCCAGGTCTGTACCGTGGGAGGGTACAGTGATACCGCTACACCATTGGTGCTCCTGTTAGACACAACGCATGCAAGCACCGTGACTGCTTCATATTTCCTCCCAGCTCGCTGATTGCAGCTAAAACAGTCATACTGATGAGCTTGCACTCATTGAAATGCCAGGATCAGATTTTCCCAGAGGAAACTGCGAAGCTGCAAAAATGCAAAACATTTGCACCAACCGGGAGTTGAACCCGGGTCTGTACCGTGGGAGGGTACAATGATACCGCTACACCATTGGTGCTCCTGTTAGACACAACACATGCAAGCATCCGTGACTGCTTCATATTTCCTCCTAGCTGATGGCAGCTAAAACAGTCATATTGATGAGCTTGCACTCATTGAAATGCCAGGATCAGATTCTTCCCGAGGAAATTGTTGGGTTGTGCAAATGCAAAACATTTGCACCAACCGGGAGTTGAACCCGGGTCTGTACCGTGGGAGGGTACAATGATACCGCTACGCCACTGGTGCTTCCGCTAGAATCGTCGCATGCTCTCTGAACAATTATTGCTAATTTCTCATTTCACTTGAGGCAACAGAATTGTGACGAGGAAAACCTCCTCAAGGCTGAAGGCTTCAGAACGAAATCTGCGGTCATTTATTTCGCATCCACATATATGAGTCAAAAAATTCGTTTTTTTCCTCCGAAAACTGGCGTACATTTATTCGAGATCACATTTATGATGTCAAATGTTTGGTTTCACTTCTTATCGTTCTTGGTTCTTGATCATGATATCGTACAGCCTCCGCTCCCCAGGCACTGCTGACATCCTGCGGTAGCCAGACGTCGACAGTAGACAACGCCGGTATCTTGTACGCCATTGATCGTATAGTAACTGCAAGGACAGTCCATTATTCAACCCATTACTGGTATTTTCGGTTTAGTTATACCATTTCGGGGATTAACAACGATCGCTATCCATAAAACTCTGAAACAAAGCAGCTGATGCTTCTACGGCCAAGTTCTTCGAATTAGTCAAGCAATGTGTCAACGTGAGCGTAAACGTTGTTTAGCATTGCTTGAGCAGGGTCAAATCAAGGCGCAGAGAATAACGCTTTGGTTATGCTATGGCTTACGGGCTGCACTCGCGACTAGACCATAGTCTAACTCCAGCCTGACCTTTCCGCCAGCCTGACTCAATCTGGGACATCTCCATTTGCCTTCTTTCTTTCAAAACGTGTGTATGGAGTCAAAAAGAGTACGTGGTGAAGTGCGCTCTTTGGAATGCTCTAAATTGTATTCTGCCGAGCTCTCCTCTTAACAAGCAGAGGAGGGATCTGATCAGCGTAGATTGAACCTTTAAATTGATGATGTTATTAGAAGGTCATTGGTAGACCAGACCTCAAGACGTGCTGGTGGGCGTGTTCGAGACCGCCTCTCAACTCACTTCCACCAATGACGTTTAGCGACGTCATCAAAATCGCACCGCCCTCTAGTCATCACGATCACTGCCTTTGAGGTTGGGGCTAGGAATGATGAAGTGGGGTGGCTAAGGTTACATTTGGGCTGGATATGGCTCAACCCAGGGTTATTTCACCAGTACACCACCAACAACCAATTTACGCCAATTCGTGCGGAGCCAAGACAACCACAACATGTCTGATTTGACTGGCTCGTTTCAACAGCTGCATTTCGTTGTCGCGGGCGGGGTACGGCCAATTCTTTCATACATTCAGGCTCTCGCAGCCTAAACGTATCCCATCTGACATGGTCCCTCATAGGTCCTAAAACTCTGCTGAGCTTATCCCCTGACATACTTTTGAATTTCCGCAACTCTTTCATATCCCATTTTCTCATAAAGGCGAATTGCGGCCAGATTTGTGTGTAGTACATGTAGATATATCTGAAAAGTTGTTCATTTGATCAGATGATTCATTGCGAAGAAAATTGGCGCTATCGCAAAATGGCTTACAAACCCCTGGAGTCTCTTCTCCTCCGCCTCAGCTTCAGCCCGTTTTTAACAAAAAGGACATGTTTAGACGCGGTCCTAAATGCATTGCCACCACAATGCCCCCGTATTCTACGATAGCGCCAGAAAATTCATGGCAACTCACTAACTGACTGCCTTCTTGTAATAGTACTGTACTGGCACGTTGCAATAACTGAGTACCAATGCCGATCTTTCTATACTCAGGTGCGACCATAAGCGTTGTGATATAACAGGTCTGAGAAGTAGGTCTTGCGTTTAATCTTCGATCAATAGCTATCAAAAACATGCAAACCTTTCTGAAGTTACTGATCAGTTTTTGCTCTTCAGGGTGAAGAGATCCCGCAGTGAAGTAGTCTTTCACATTTCTTATCACACCAATAGCACCAACTAGCTTGTCTTCGCGGTTATAAGCACCTGATTACGATCGGAGATCAAGCAATGGTCTGGTTCGGTAGGGTCTGTGCTTACCCAGTGAGTAGTGAGTAACTGAGTCGGTGGCGATACTCAGCCAGTAGGATTCGGGATATGGCAGTGGAAGACATTGCCCGCCTAGTCTGTAAAACAATCCATCGCCACTACAACATCTAGAATGCTTAGTTGCGCAGTTGGCGAGTCACCGACTGCTGGCTGGCCACATACAGCTGCGTGCGGTCGCAACGCGGCTGTCTCTTAGTATGGCCTCTCGCATGGACCTGGCGAGACGTTCCGATCGCAGCAGTTCCAGTTCGATTCTGCGGGTCTAGCTCCAGAGCATCGAATGTGACTAATATTACACTTACTGCTTTAAAGTTCGCAAATGTTATTGGTCAGTTCCCGATAGGCAATATCTGGCGGATACGCGCTCATCGACCGAGCGCACGCCACCGACGAGTAGATCAGCGCTAGCAAATGAGAAACACCGCATGCCCATTCATTCTTGATAACACACCTCTGATTCTGATAGTGATTGTTATCAGGATAGTTTACAAGTTCTCCTCGAATAGTCACCGTTAGGGTCATTATGTCTAGCTGCAGTGGCACAGGAACTTTAGTGGATTCAAGAACAGTCACTGTATCCACGTACTCAATGACCATATTGGGAAGAACATAAAGGCTAAAGTATAAGCGGGACAAATCATAACGCTGTGCGTGGATGGAAGTTGGTCCTCAATCCCAAGAGTTCAGTTCACCGTCAGCTTTTTCGTCTTGCCTGTCTTGCTTTTCAAGTCGATTTCGTGATTAGGTGCAGGAAAGTCGAGTAGAACATCGCACGCTTGCAATATTTGTCTTATCCTTCGTTTCAACTCAGCTACCGTATCCTCATGACTGACTAGTGAAGGTTATTGTTCTGAACTCGCTGATGAGCAGCCCTCCAAGCAGATTTTTCCAACATATATGAGCCCACAAAAGTGCCAGAATAGCGAATAGGGGCGTAAGACCTATTTGGCAGATATTCGGGCTTCATTCCATCGGCAGGACTCGTGTAAGGACCCTAAGTATCCGTCAAATCCTTCGATAGATCTCGCCCATCAATGGAGATTCGAGAAAGAGCGGCTCCGAGCAAACAAGGACCACATTCCGCCAACGAAGCCTAAGGCTGAGCCGGAATCAGTCTTCTGGGTTACAAGGCTTCTGTCAACCAGGGGGTGAGAGTGTAGAAGGAAAAGCAGACGTTCTTTGTGGTAGTGGGACTAAGCCTTTTAAAGGAGGTAAAGAAAGCGGAGATTCTGTAATAGTGCGCTTGTGTGAGAGCTCCCAGACAGCACAACAAAACGCTGAATTGCCTAGCCTCACGGTTGACAGATGTCCGGAGACTGTCTTGGGTAGTGGACTACGAAAACTACATAAACACTCCATTGGCTGAAATTCGGCAACCCAGCGGGAGACTCGATCTTTGACGAATAAGCCGGATACCAATTCTTTAGTACGCACCTTTGAGCGTCACATCACTGACCTTTATCTGTTCATTCTGTGTTTCTTCCAAGTTGTCGAACACTACAGAAACGCAAACCATTTATTGGACCTTTGAAAAAAAAATCAAACACACTTTCTTAAAATAACGTGCGAGCCAAAGTGAGCCGCCAGTAATAGAATTTACAAGCAAATACACTCATTACCCACCTTCCCCAGCTTAAACGCTTTCGACATACCCACTTCCCTAAAAAGTCGACAAGCAGGAGGGGGCTTTACATACGCCATCTGCATACAGACTGCAGGAAGAACACAGATGCTAACAAAATACGACCACCCATAATACCTTCCCGCGTCAAAGAATTCTTGGCGTGGTTCACTCTGGCTCCGGCACACACACAAACAAATTACCAGCACCCTTATAAACACGATGAAAAAAATCTGCGGTCAAATCATGAATAGTAATGATGTCTCAAGGCAATACTGACATTCAGAATATATGCGAATACTCATACACCATTTATTTCTATCCTTCCTTGAAAACATCTGGTAGTTCTTGCGAACTGAGGAAACGAGATAGAAATGAGAAAAACCAGCAACGCTAAAAAAAAGCTGCTCTGTCTACTGTTCAATATGCGCAGATAGAAAAAAATCGAAGAAGCGCTCTCAACGAGGTGCCGAAGCTCGCCAAAATGGGTCAGTTGTCCGGCATTTCACTCTTCTGCTTCTCCGTTTTTTCCTATCTGCGACGGCGTTCTCAAAATATTAACAGCTTCTAATCTCAGAAAAACCATAGTAAAAGCTCATCGATACTTATATCACATCACCAATCACGACTAGATATTAAACATCATCAGATGAGAACATTACTGATAAAGTACATATCTCAGAGGCCGCTCAAAATGCACCACACAATACCTATCACCTTTGCGGTCACTATTCGAATAGGATGATATACAAGTTTATATTATTAGCATTATTTATATATCTCTATACATTATTAATTTGAATGTGAGAAGTGCTTACGGCCTTAGATCAAAACATATAACACTTCAAAGGAAAGCACTCGTACAAAAGTATTATGGTTTGTTGGAGGGTACCGCATTAATTAAGTAATGAAGAAAAGCAATTTTCTTTTCAATAAAACTTACACTGAGGGCAAGCAACTCTCAAACGGAATGAATACGAATAAAGTCAAATAAAAAAATATTTAAGAGCACCCGAGACGACCATTTGAACACAATGGGAATGGTATGAAACCCTACACGACCCTGAAAAGAAACAAATATTAGGGCTACTTCAATTAGCGCTGAATTGAAAGGGGGTGGAACAGATCCATAGTACCGATTAGTATCCGGTCCATTGTACTGGCAAAGCTCACCATGAAAAGACGGGCCACCAGAACTCTAGGAAGTCAGTGATGCACGAATGAAGGGAAACCAAGGAAAACAATCTCGAACCTGAGAAATGAGACCTATTTTGCTCATTGCGTTGCGCGTTAGGCGTGCCTTGTTGGTGCTGACCTGATCAACGCTAACGCTTCTCTGCTTGGTGGCTAAGCCAGCGGCAAGGGACTGGGCGGGCAGCGACGCTAACGGCGCGGGAACGGCCATGGTCGGCGTTGCTCGGCCGCCGGGGCATATCTCGCTGCAAAATGTGTGTCAATCTGGAGCCTTAGAGGTTCTGCCTGTCTTCCCAGTAGGTAGAGTTACCCTTCTTCGACCTCCGACCTTATCGAGTAATCCTTCTTTAGGCCCAGCCCTTTATCGGTCTCTCATCTTTACCATCTTTGCAGAAACATAAAAACCTTCGCGTACTCTTCGAAACCAGCGCATGTGATACGACGGAAGCCCAAAATCAACCATTTGTTGATTCAAAAGCCATGGTTGAGATTGGGTAACCTAGTCTCAGTAACAGAATTTCTACCCTCCACATCTTCAATTAAAGTGGCCATGGCAAAACTAGAATTGAAATGTCAAGCTAGTTCTCACTGGCTTGGGTCATGCCTTGTGTAGCCATGGGGGAGGAGGGGGGGGAGCCTATCACTCACTCGTCCTGAGGGCGTCGTAACATTTCCTGCAGTTGTCAAATGCTACTTATGACTCAGCCGAGATGCTGAGGCGTTTACGCATCAAGCAATTGAGCGACATTAGCGACATTTCATGACGACGAGGTCGCTCCACGACATTTTCCCCACCGACCTGATGAACCCTTCATGTCTCATGGACGACGATACATCGCTGACGCAAAATGTCGCTCTTGAAATGTGAACATTTCCGAAAAAAATGTCAGAAAGAATGGTTCCTATTTGTTTTTCTAAGCTTCAACACGAATCACTGTGAAAACGCTGCCAGTGGTATTGCCAGGATAAAACAGTGATTAAAAGTAGTCATACCCATTTCATGAGCGCTTCTATCCACCATGTTCTTTGTAATCTTTCTCATCTGCATTTGGCACCTCATTTACGTAGCGATCTGAAAAAGGGCAAATAACATGGATCTTATTTTTAAACTATGGGTATCTAATCGATATCCCCAGTTTGAATGAAAAAGCTTTCGCTAACCCAACACTCACCGTTATTCTCTCGATCATCGGGATGCTTATCAGCCTCTTCTTCTCCCCGTCTCATGTGACGAGCTTTCTCAGCAAGTTTCGCCACCAGTTCTTTTGCTGGAATCAGCGTAGGTGGTTTGAACTCTTCCTGATTGCGATTGAAGGATAAAGCGTCGCCGGCCTGAAATTTGCAAAACAGATTAATTACCATAAAAATTTATGCAGAGAAATATCTTGTAAAAACCACGCCATTTTTACCTTGTGTTTCCTTTCAAAAATGCTGTCTCATTTTGAGTGTAATGATCCACCGGGACAGCCTGAAATTCATAAGGCTAAAAAAATTGAAATTAATCCAAGAAGTACTTTTTTGAAGAAATAAGCAATCGATGATGACAATCTTAAGCGCATACACATTGATGATTCATTTAAATATTCGATGAAACTACGGTGCGATACCCCAGTCCCACTTGACTCGGCATTTTTGTACAACCATTGTAGGCGGCTCACTTTTGACACCCCCCCCCATCACCGGCAATCTTTGAAGCAGTCAAGATAGGTTGTGGGGATGGTGCTCAATAACACGCCAGTGGCGAAAAGCAGAAAATTCGTCAAGAAAACGCAAAACGAGGACCCCTTGTGTGACCGTTGATTTCAGCTACGGATGGCTAGCGGCTAAGACGGCGGACGTATGGACGAGTTTACCGCAACGCGTTTGGTGGCACCATGCCAATCCATGCTCCAATCGAGTTGCTCCAGTTGCCGCTGCTGGCAACACAGCTCGTCCAAATCACCAACTAAACTAGTGGGCGGATCGCTTTTGGGGCGGAGTGCTTTCGAAGTCTGCTCAGCAACCAGCGCACCTTTCGTCGTGAAAGCGCCACACTCGCTTCCTTGGCAGCCAAGCTACTGCTTCGTGTAGCGCATCTACTCCACCGATACGCTCCCTCTATCGTAATCGCCTCCTTCAACACATTGGAGCCGCATGTGAGCTGCAGCGCATCGACCGCGTGGGACCTTTCAGCCCACATATCGAAAAAAGTTTTTTATTAAGTTTTAAAAGGTTGAAGTTTTTCTCCTGTTTTCTTTTCCACTGCATTCGATAAGGTTTCTTCTGCATCATACAGTGGGTTTTTTTTCAAATTTGCTTATTAAGATTCCTAAAAATTTCACTGAAGTCCCACGCGGCCGCAAAACGTGAAACATGCGCGGTCTCCAACGTGTTAAGCATCTATTCACTAATACATATACATTATGCAATCAGCAGTTAATGTAAGTCGTGTAACTTCAGTTTGTTGGGGCTCGAGGTAGAGTGGTTCGTAAAACCCTGAGCACCATCGCTGCGGTCAGTGGGCCACTTGTGCGCTCAAAAAAACCAAAGTAAAAACTAATAGAAACTATATCACATTATGAATCACCAGAAATAAAACTAATAGATATTGAAACATTACTAGATGAGAACGTTAAAGTACATAAAAGTATTTGGTGTATTTGAGTTTTTGATCCTGAGGTTCTTTAATTGTTTGCAAGAATAAACAAATATCTCCAAAAATATTGGCCTCAAGCGGGTTCGAGGCCGCACTCTGGTTTTCGAGCACTTTGCTACCATTACTAAGGATAAGTGCAGAGGTAGAGGTTGCAGCACTTTGAAAACCTACTTCCTGCTTGAAATCAAGCGCCACTGTCGCAAGGTTTTGCGACTGCGGCGACAACTCCCCCCCCCCCCCTCCCCCCACAAAGACCTATGGATAAAGCAAAAGAAAACAAAGGGTGAGGAAGACCCACGGCTAATTCGACTACAAGAGCGGCAACCCTGCCAACTGCTACCTCGTTAGAGTTACTATCGTAAGAATTGTTACTTTTGCTCAATAACTTCGTCAGAGAGGTGTTACTGCAGGTTGAGCAATAGTGACCAATACTATGTGCACAAAAGTTTCAAATATAACACTTTGAATTGGCGTAACACTGATGGTTACAGGTAACCCTGAATAAGGATGTGTATTGAAGCGTCATGTCATGGGGCGTTTTGGTAAGAACTTAGAGTAAATTAGCCTACATGGATGGTGTTTATAACGGTTTTTTTTTTACAAAGCAAATGATTAGCTGATGTTTCGGGAGTACGGATAGTGTTGCAAAATCAGTGTAAAGGCTGGAGAAGTAGAGAATACCTTATAAATTTGGTGGAGGTGAGCGTTTTCTCAGGGAAGCGCTCGAGGCCATATGCGATCAGCGCCACATAGCGATGCGATTGGTTTTCTTTTTCATTCCTTCTTCTCTGAAATGTGAGACAATCAGCAGAGGTTATTGTATAGAGCTCTGAGAAGTAGTGGTTAGCGCGGTTTCGGAATCAGGTAAAATTTGAACTGCATATGTAGCTTGTAGAAAAAAAATTTCTTAAGGCTCGTCACGGGAGGAATGGGTGGGGGGGATTGGGGGCTGTAGGCAGAGAAGGAAGCGAAAACAGGCAGGTACAGGAACGAAAGGACTAGGGCTTCTCCACAGATGTTAGAATTCGGCTGAACCAAGCTGTACTTTACCGTTTGAGCGTTTGAGCTTGTGTGAGTTCTTGCTCAGTTGAAGTGGAACATGTTGAACGACTGCAGGTTGTGCCACAAAATGGGCAGTCCAAAAGAAAGGTGCCAGTGCGATTTTCAGCTTTGTGACAGTGTTCTTCACCTAATTCTCTGGCATTCCCAAGGCTATTCTGGTGGGTTCCTGGCATTTCCCCGATATCGATGCTCTTCATCATGTTTTTTAGGGGGCGGAAGAGAACAGATATGCCACAAAAGCGTTGTTGAGAGGTCATCATGAATTGATCGGCAAAAAAAATCTATATTACCTAAATCACAAGTGAACGTGAATGTCCTAATATGACAGAATTAAAATTGTTGACCATCAACTAATTGTAAATCAAGGGTTTTTACCCGCCTAGTTCTCAGAGTACTGTTTTTTTAATTTGTCTAATCTCTTGGATAGTAATTAAGAAGTGGAGGGTAGCTGAGAATTGCACGGTTAAAGAGGCGAACTGTCCCCATAGTTTTCCGGAGTCTTACCATCTTCGTTCCGAAGATTATCTTTTAGCTTCACAAAACAATTCTTTTGGAGTTCCTCTGTGGAAAGGTACTTAAAAAGGCAAGTGGGCCACCGAAGTAGAGGAGTCGGGTTTGGTGGTTTTTTAGGGTCTCTTACTGCAGCATATTCATCTGTTGGAATCGGAAAAAAATGGAATTTTCCTAACAAAAAAGACGTCTGTAGCCCATAATCGTAACCACCCGTTTTGAATTCCAATAATCGTTTAACCACGCGTTTGAAGTATCAATATTTTCTTTGAAGAGTGCAATCTTCTAATATGAAAATACCGTCAATCCCATAAGTCTCAGAAAGGTGGTTACTATAAAGAATGCAGTCTGCGATGTTTAGGTATTTCAGTAGCCAACATTGCCTTTCAATACTATTCTTCCTCTAAGCTAATTTATTGTCTTGCTGGATGTTAGAAGTCTGTTTTTGTTTCATGGTAAGTGATTATGAACAGATTTTGTGCTGTACTGAAGGGTTAGAGATGAGCGTACGGTGTATGTAAGCGGTTTGTCGACCAAGTTAAAGAATATATCCGCGGGCCACCGGCATTATGTTCAACATCGCGATATATTTTGGAAAGCTCTTGTATATTTTTTCCACAAAAGCGTGTCAGTTGTCGAACGACGTCCTCCGTCAGCGGATTTCTGGAGGGAAAACGCTGGCTGATAAGGGTAGTCGGGAAGGCTTACCTGACAGGAAAATGCAATCCGTTTGGTGCCGGAGCGGAGCTGGTGGCAGCGGTAGTGGACGGCAATCGTGATGCGCTCATGCTCGCGAATGACGACCGCGAGCTACCCGTGCTCGGACCGGTATGGTGTCGGCGGCCGTCATCTTGCTCATCTCTGCTGTCTCCTATGTCTTTCCACGATGTTTCCGGAACATCACAGTTCGCGGCTTCTTCCTTACACCATTGTCTTCGTCGGCTTACAGCCAGTACTGTGATAATTGATATCGATAGCCTATGAGCTTGATTGTAAGCTTTGAAAGCATACCACTCTCTGAATCACCTGACCATTGACAGCTAAAGATCTGATATCCGATTCTATCAATTGCTTTGCGCTGCGACATGAAACCAGTAGACACTAGTGGTATATTTGAACTTCTTGAACATACAGATTTTGACATTTCCACAAGAATGGTGAATGCGCAAAATTTCTGGCCTCAGACGGGTTTGAAGTGGTTGGTTTTTTGAGCTTTTTCGTTATTGCTGCGTCTGGGAAAAGTGCGAGTACAGGCTTTAATAAGGGCGGCGGCATATACGGCTAATCCAATGAGGTTTGTCCATAACTGATACCCGTGAATATAATTTTTTCGCGTCGATGAGCCTTCTTCTCACTTCCTCGAGGAGGAATCTTGATTTGAGGGTTTCTATCCAGTGGGGGGGGGCGGGATCACAATGCACTTGCTCCTTTGAACAATTAACACGTTGACGACGAGCGATTTTTTCCTTGTCGCGCGCATGGGACGAGGCGTTTTTTGCATGCAAAGCGCCGGTAACAACAGGGCAAAACTTATTTTGTAGCTCTGTAAAATCTCGAAATGCACAAAATGCCTTTGACTAGAGTACTCCAGACACGTTTAGAAACAAGGAAAAGTTGTTACTACTGAATGCGGGGTGAAATTTCAGTGAAATCGCCTGGCATTTTCAAACCTCAGGTTAGAATGGTTCTGAAGGCGCAATTTCACGCATTCTTCATTTTTATTATTAATATGAGCTTTCCTTTAGATGGTACTGGTATCCTGATCACATCTGAAATCTTCTACGAATTTTTCACTCAAGAATGACGCAAAAAACTTTGCGTACCTGACGGAATGAGCTTTTGTTTGACTGTTATCTTGTTCTTCATGATCGAATAAGTGATTTAAACGAGTCATTTCAAGGTCAAAAACCTGTTTGTGAAATATTTGGCAGTTGATGGACTGGATAGGTACTTTTATCCTGCCTATGAGAGTAAGACTGAGCCTACTTGACATCATGGGAACCTAAGCTAGTAATGGACATCCTACTGACGGTAACCTAATTAGTAAAGGTCGATATGAACAATTTTAGTGAGATTTCCAGTTTGCTGACGGTGGGAACTTTGTGGTTGTGATTCAATTGACAGCGCGTTTCTGCCACTGATAACTAATTCAGAATAAAACTCCCAGGAATTAGAAAGATCATAATTCGCAGACAAGTGTAGTAAGTTAGGACACTGAAGTAAACGTTGAAATAGAAAATCG